ATTTTAAGCGAAATTTTGTGGTTAAACTTAAATAATAAAATAACTTAATGCACACCATGCAGAATATTATAATCTAATTTTAATACTGTACAATTTTACATATAATTTTTTTAGTAATTAACTCAATGAGAGAATATTCTTTTTCTAAATGTTTTTTCATTGAGCTATAAAAATATTAAAATAGTTATATATAATTATTAACAGTTATATATTAAAATACTAATCTATGCCGACATTTTTCAGATCCTACTTGTTTTACTTTGCTTAGCATTATATTGTATTACGCTATACCGATAAGTCGTAACATCGTTTTAAATCGAAATGATAGTCGATTACCACATCTGCACATAATATCGGAATATTTCGTCGATCAATACAAGTATTATACTTTCATAGTATTGCATACGGTAGTTGTCACATGCTTAGCCTTGATAACAGTATCGGCTACGGGATTTATGGTTTTGGGTTTTACTTTACACATATGTGCAATGTTGAAAGTAGCCAAGTGAGAATTCGAATTAATCAAATGCGAAATAATTATATAATATTATAATATATATAATATATCAATGTCTTTACAGCTATCGAATGGAGATTGTAATGGATCTAAATATATTACGGTTTTCTAGTGCAGAAAAGGAGTATATAATTTATGAGAGATTAGTTTGCGCTGTTGACGTCCATCGTAGAACTGTTCAGTTTGTATATATGTAGAGCCTAGAAATCACAAACTTTTTTTCATTTTTTTATAGCGCATATTTAATGCAAAAGTTATTATTTTTTAAAACTTTATTATTTTTGATATTAAACATTTCAGTGCATTCAAATTTAACAATACAAGCAGAGATTCCCCTAAAATTAATTAGCGAATAATATTTTGCAAATTAAATTGAAGACATTCACGTAAAAATGAACTAATTGCTTGGGTTGAGCGCCTTATTTTAATTTTCTAATCTTCGAGCTTTATCTCGATATATTGTATGTATGCAATTTCTAAAAATGTTTTAAAGTAAAATGCGAAGTTTACTTATTCAATTTTATGATTATGATTTTTGAAGGCTTTGCATGCACATTAATATAAGAAAATTAATAAAATTAATATTAAAGATTACAAAATTTTGTCAGTCGAGAAGTCTTAGTCGAGAACCTAGTCGAGAATCTTTAATATTAATTGTATTAATTTTTTATATAAAACATGATTGTGGAACATTTTAAAATGCTAACTTATATTAAAAAACACTAAATTCATTAACTAATTAAAGTTTTGTTTCTAATATTTGATTAATATATATGTGCTTGATTTTAAACACGATAAAAATATTTTTACAGCGTTTCGCACGTTATAATATGAAATTTTTGTAATTATTAAAGGTTATGCAACTTTATCATCTCAAATTTAGACACACCGATGCTTTTCGCGCTTATAATCACCGTGGCATCCTTAAGTATTAATATGTTCCGAGTGAGTAACCATACCATATAATTATCTTTGGTACAATCTATTTCTTGTGTAAACATTCCGACAAATAAATATTATTTAATTATACCGACAATAAATATTATTTAATTATACGATATAAGAGTGTGTTTAAATATTGTGTTTAAATATTGCAGTGTCTTAAGGCAGTAACAGCGTTCAAGGATTTGGTTGAAATAATTATATCTTTTGTTCTCGTTATTGGCTATTTTATTATTACATTTGCTATTTGTCACGTCGGTCAACAAATCACAGATCTTAATGCTGATATTTTCAAAACAATGTACGTATTTGTCTCAAAAAATGTGTCTTACATATCATTATTATCACGTAATACTTATTGTCTTTTTAATAAATGAAAAAAATGGTGGATTCAAAGCAGAAGTTCGAAATTTTGAAGAGCTTTTTGAAAGCATGAATAACTTATTTTTTATACAAATTCACATTTACACACATACATATATACATACATACATATATTTATAGATACAATTTGCCGTGGTATACAGCTCCTCGGAATATACGAAAATTATTTCCATTTCTATTACAAAATAATAATAAAGACCTTTATCTGACGATCAAAGGAATATTTGATTGTTCGCACAAATGCTGTAAAATGGTAATGAATGTATCGCGATCAACATCATATTCAATATAATTACCAAAATTATACCAAAAAAATATTTATGTGTTTTAGTTTGTAACAACATCAATATCGTATTTCACAGTTCTTTATTCATTCCAATGAAAGCTATCTATTACATGAATATTAATAGTCAGTGTTAGAAATTTGCATTTAGCGATGAAATCACTTGATTTTAAGTGTATTATGTTTATGTGTGCGTACATTATAATTTTATTATAAAAAATAAACATTAATAACTTATAAAGACTTGTTTTTCTGAAGCGCAAAAAGCCAGAAAATTAATGCCAAATATATATTTAAATACTTTTAATAATATCTTTAATAATACCTTTTTTCTCAGATATGCTTTTATTACGACTGAATTTCTAATGTAATATTCAAAAGTGACATACAACAATACTCTAGTGTTGAGATTAAGAGTGAAAATAATATGCTATTTTATTTCTATCTATTTCACAGTGAAAATAAATGTGAGAACATCATCATATGTGTTAGTTAGGAAAAAACCCTTTTTTAGACCTAGCAATTGAAATAATTTGCACCTTTATTAGCTTGCGTGTGAAAACTGCAAGGGCTATGAAGGGAGTCATATGGTAACATGAGAAATGATGCATAACATATCGTTCTCATGCAATCATGTAATAATGAAAAAGTCGCCGTTTATTCTCGGTGATATTTATCAGTCACAATCGTCTCGAACGGAACTCAATATGAAAGGTATTAAAATTCCTAATAAAATAAAAAAGCACTAGGATTATTTCTAAGAGAGTTTTCACTTAATATTTATAATATACACGCGCGCGCGCGACCACACACACACAAACACACAAAAGAGAGACTTCAGAGAGATTCATGAGAAATATAATGTTAACTTATTAAATATATTATTATCACTAATACACGATATTTTCTATTTTCAGGTAAGTATGCACTGAGCTACTATTAAGCTAGAATGCTGCGTGTACTTCTATGGTGAGTAAAGTATGAGTGTATAAAATTGTATTAGAAAAAAACAATTTTTTTCTTAAGAAGTATGAATTACATCGCAGTTTTGCATTCGTCTAACAATAAGCATTACTAAATTTGTCTTATGGAGAAAAAAAAAGATACTATTTAAACATCTGTTCTTTTGCATTACACATTTTATTATTTCCTTCAACGAAATATACGTATATACACATTGCAGTTAAAACTTTATATAAATATTTTAATATTTATATTATATTAGGCTGAACTAACTATTTATTAAAATTCATGGAATAACATTTTGTTGTAATTTCTTTAATTGACATTAACATTAACGGATAATATCGATGCAGTGTATATATTCGCTATATGTTGATTTCTATTATTTATTTTAATCATGCATATATTTGCCATTAATTACGGCAAACGAATAATAAAATAGATTATGTGATAAGCTATTGAAAGTAATGTGAATGTGCTTCACAATATTTTTAGAGCTATATTCCTAAATTTAAAGCTGCAATCTGGTTCTTAGATTTGATATAAATTCACGGAAAAAAATACTGTTGCTTCAATTAAAGTCTACGTCACAGGTTGCCAACAAACATACATAGTTCATTCAATAATATTTTTATTAAATCAAATATCTGGACAGTTGTTTTAATAATCCAGATATTTGGTCCAATAAAAATATCATTGAATGAACTACATATGTTTGTTGGCAGCCCATGACGTAGACTTTAATTGAAGCAACAGCATTTTTTTCCGTGTCGATATACATATAAAGAAAAATGTCAAAATTACCGAATATTCTTTTAAAGGAAGAATTTTTGATTAGCTTGATCAAAAAGTCGATTTTTAACGAAGATAAATGAAAAATCAATAATTTTTTTTAGATGTAAGCGCTTAAAAAGAACGATTTTTCGCGAATTAAATTTCGAGTAATGATGTAAATTTAAAATTGGAATTGATTGAATTTAATTAAAGATATAATAAAGAAAGAAGAAGGATAAACACATGATGCGACAATTGTCTATATATACACTACGAATAATAGCAAATAAATGTTCGTACAGTTTGTTGATACTATATTATAGCCCGATGCAAAGCGAATAACGTTCTCTACAATGGACGAAAAGAAACTGAAACTTTTTCAATTGTCAAGAAAAAAAAGTCATAACTGCGTTTGCGCAAGAATATTATTCAGTCTACGCGTTAAAGACATATTGCTCTATTACAAATTGAGGTAATTTAAGCCAATTTGTTTTCGCCTTTATCACGAATACGTTGTCCCATTATTTGAAATGATATAATCATCTCTATAACTATCGTCGTGCGAAGATATCGATCGTTAAAAATTCATAGAAAATTTTGAGAGAAATAATGCGAAAATGATAAAAATTTATACCACACTCGTATCGCAACTCTCGTGTAAGATGCACGCGATAGAAGAGCGTTATTACAAGATCAATCAAGTAATTCTTAAGACACTTGGCTTATGGCCTTATCAGCAGTCGTATCTCACGCAAATACATAAAGTGCTGTTTGCCGGTATTCTTTTAACATTTATTCTTGCCCAGGTATACATCCAGTTACATTTCTAATTTTTGTCAATTGAGTGTATAGTAGCATTCGTTAAATGCATATTAAGAGATATCTTTCATTTCCGTTTTTATCCTAATGCCTTTTCATTTTATTTTCTATATAAAATCTACAATTTTTATATCAATAATATTATAAAATATAAAAGCTTTTTAATTTATAAGTTATATTTTATATACGTTTTTAAAAAGCGCAAAAATATTACGATAAACGCTGAAAAGAATAAATATTTTTGGAGAATGTTTTTCTCTTGATACAATATATAATATTTTTAATATAAAAGTCCTTGTATCAATCATCTCTATAACTATCGTCGTGCGAAGATATCGATCGTTAAAAATTCATAGAAAATTTTGAGAGAAATAATGCGAAAATGATAAAAATTTATACCACACTCGTATCGCAACTCTCGTGTAAGATGCACGCGATAGAAGAGCGTTATTACAAGATCAATCAAGTAATTCTTAAGACACTTGGCTTATGGCCTTATCAGCAGTCGTATCTCACGCAAATACATAAAGTGCTGTTTGCCGGTATTCTTTTAACATTTATTCTTGCCCAGGTATACATCCAGTTACATTTCTAATTTTTGTCAATTGAGTGTATAGTAGCATTCGTTAAATGCATATTAAGAGATATCTTTCATTTCCGTTTTTATCCTAATGCCTTTTCATTTTATTTTCTATATAAAATCTACAATTTTTATATCAATAATATTATAAAATATAAAAGCTTTTTAATTTATAAGTTATATTTTATATACGTTTTTAAAAAGCGCAAAAATATTACGATAAACGCTGAAAAGAATAAATATTTTTGGAGAATGTTTTTCTCTTGATACAATATATAATATTTTTAATATAAAAGTCCTTGTATCAAATATATATATACATATAATCTCAATAAACCGATTATAAAAATTTCAAAAATGTTTTGCATTAAAAAAATTATTAGAAAATACTAATATGTATATAAAGAATTGATTTTTTTCTCTGATGCTTTGTAAAAAATCGCTTCAAGAAGGTTTCTAATTTATCGTGTAATAAAACGAGTTTTATATGTGGAACATAATCTGATATATTTTGAACATTGTTCCCACACAGTTGCTGGTATTTATTACGACCCAATACAATATAAATCTTTTTCTCAAGATTCTGTCAATCGTCTTTCCCACTCTTTTTGGCACTATAAAGTATGGCCTTTTTATCATTCAAGCAGATAGTGTAAGTCCAACAAGAGTCGTTTATTTCAATGTTTTTTTATAACACATTCGTAAATTAAATTATATTCTAACTATTGATAAGGGGAATAATGGAATAAACAGATCAAGCAATTAATGGAGCAAATCCGAAATGATTGGAGATTGTTACAAAATAAATTGGAAATTGATATTATAGAGAAATACGCTTACAACTCCAGACTTTTCACGGTGACTGTAATGGGTAAAAAAGAAGATACTAATATAGTTATCCACTTTATATACAGGATGTTTCAGAACTTATAAGACGTATTCCCAATTTTTTGAAAAATGATATTAATTAAAATGACATATGCAGATATTATATATATTTTTAAAATAACATATTAAATGAGATATTAGTATTTCTAATGTCTTTTTATCCAAAACGTATGAAAATTGCATTCCTATGTATAAAATTCGAATATTTAAACGTTTTTTCTCATTCCTGTGAGGTTAAGATTTCGGACTTAACATCACCTCTATGTGATGAAACTCTCGATATATATATATGGTAATATAGATGTCATACATTGTTTTTGCGTAACTTTTTTAAATTGCTTTTAATTAAGACAAAGACCGTGTTTGAACGCAACTTAGAACTTATTTTTTCGGAATAATTTACATAGTTGAATTCAAATTAAGAGACTAAAGTTTAACTTTTTTTAGCATTCACTTTATTAGGCGCATCTTTTTGCGGAATACTTCAACTTTTGCCGGTGATCCTTGATATTATAACACCGTTGAACGAATCACGGCTCTGTCAACTTATCGTAATAACGGAATACTTTGTTAACCAAGAGAAATATATCTACGCTTTATTGTTGCACGAGTTAATAGCCGCTTTCATAGTAATAATCGCAATATTTGGCACAGCTGCGACAATTATGATGTACATTTTGCACGCGTGTGCACTATTTAAAGTAGCAAGGTAATGTCATAAATGCGCTTGTATTCCTGTAACACTTGTTTCAATCTAAATATAGATTTATATAGCTATCGAATAGAGAACGCGATTGAGAAAAGTGTATTAGAGATCTCTGGTCCTAGAAGAGAGTATTTGCTTCACCATAGGATTGTACATGCGATTGTTATACATCGAAGGGCGATCGAGTTAGTATTTTTACATCTTTGTTATAATATTTTGTAGCATCCTATCTCTTTTTTATCATTTCTTATGAATTAAAATTGACCAATTCCAAAATTTTATTGCCTTATGTTGCACGTTTAATACTTAATATTTCTTTTCGATACGTATTAAATGCAATCTGAGTTACAAATTAATTAAAATTTTTAATTAAGTATATTAAGGAATTAAATTTACGTAATTTTAATTAAGTAAATTTACGTAATCTTAATAATATAAGCATAATAGTTAGCATCAATGAATATATTTCGAGGTTTGCACTATTTATATAATAGTTCCAATATCTAGCGCTTCGTTAAAGGTTTACCGAATTTTTAACATCCACTTTTATGGTATCATACGCTATTCTGATCATAGTTGGCATCAGCTCTTTAAGTTTCAATCTTTTTCAAGTAAGTAATATCTTTTTGCCCCCCCCCCTCCCCCTTTTTCTTCTATTTTTATTCTACTTAATTGGACTGATTATTGAGTCACAATCCGTCATAGTTTCTTCAATTGGCAACATTAACGAACAATAACAGTGAGGCATCTATATTCGCCGTATTTATAGTTACTCATCTGATATATTTGTTCTTCGCTAATTATGCCGGACAAGAAATAACAGATCATGGCATAAAGTTATTTAAAGCAACGTGAGTATCGGTTTCTTGTAGAACTTTTGAAAACTTTGTATTTATAAATCTATTTTCCTTATTTATGAACATACATACATGCATATATATATAAATGCATATATATATATGTGTGTATTATATATCATACATATTATTCTGTGATATTGTTAAAAATACAACCAATTTAACATTAATTATAAAGTAAAAATTATTTTTTGCTAATATAAACAGTTCTGATTCTAACATTAAAAAAAATATATTTTGTAGACTATTAACATATTTAAAAATTGCAGTTATAATGGACTGTGGTATGCAGCACCGTTGCATACGCAGAAATTGTTACTATTTATAATGCGAAAAGGGACGATAAATGTCACTATAGGATGTGGCAGCATATTTATTGCATCTTTGGAAGGTTTTGCTATGGTAAAATTAAAAATCTTTTAATAACAAAAGAGAATTGAACTAATGTGGATTTACGATTATGTGTCTTCCTCAGCTTACTAATACGGCAGTATCTTATTTCACGGTAATTTATTCTACGAGATAATAATCCGAGAAGGAAAATTCATTATCACTCTGGTAGATCTATATCTACCAGAAATAAATATAGTCATGCAGCATATGTACATTATAAATTTTTGATGAATATAGCTAAAGTAATGTATTAAATAAACGTACATTATTTCATTCCTGATAATTATACATACAATACTAAATTAGGCAATACTAATAAATAGATAATCCATCAAAGAGAAAAACAGGTACCTGAATAACCTTGTTAATCAGATTAGGTAATTTATGATTTTTTTGCAATATTTAATAATAATTGTAATAATAATATGTTATTATTATTATTATCATTATTTTATATTTTTCTGAAATTATATACATATTAGAGAATGCTGCACATTTTTGTGCAGTAGTTAAAACCTTATACGTATAAATATTTATTTTAATAAGTACACATACATATTGTAATAAATAAGTCGGCCAAACTCACCTGTCGCTATATGAAAATTTGGATGTTAGCATTTTTGCTTATAACTTTCTTAAAAAAAATATAATCAAAAAATATAAAAATCGCGATTATGGAGACTATATATGTATAATAATAATGAATAAATCTATCTGCAGCTTTTTTTAAAATATGATTTGCGCTCTACACTGTGATCTGATATAAAATGAGTGTAATGCTTCCTACGATGCACCGACAAGAACTGAAACTTTTTTTTTCTGAGGAAAAAGAAAGTCATGATTGCGTTTGCGCAAGACAATTTTTAATGTTATAAATTTTAACATCGCTCTTAATTACAAATTGAGGTAATTTCGCTAATTCGCTTTTGCCTATGAATAAATGGCTCATGAATAAATTACCTCTCACTGTTAGAAAGCTATAACCACCATTTTATTATAACTATCGTTGTATGATAAGACCAATCATTTAAAAAAATTCATGAGCGATATTGAAAGAAATAATGCAAGAATACAAAGGTCTATGTCACAGTTGTGTCGTAGCTCTCGTACAAGATGCACGCGACAGACGAATATTATAACAAGATCAATCGAGTAGTTCTTAAGATACTTGGCTTATGGCCTTATGAGCAATCATATTTCGGGCGGATACAAAAAGTGTTTTTTGTCAGTATTTTTTCGACATTTATTTTTGTCCAGGTATATCAACCCACACTTATAATTTTTGTAGAAATGATTAAATAATGATGTTCATTAAATATATATTTTAATAAATAAATTTAATAACATGACTAAAATATGTAAAATAAAATTTTTTATATGATTTATTTGTATTCGAAAAGAATCGATTTTAAAGATCATAAAATTAATAACATTACGCTTTATATATTTATGCTTTTTTAATCATAAATAAAATTGTGTTATGTCGTCGAATTCATTTCGATAGCGATTATTAATTTATTAATTAATTTATACCTACATATATATG